TGCGGGTAGGCGCATACAGTGTGTAGTATTTGAGGGGGTGTTGTATGCGGTGTGGGGAGTGTGTGGGGTGTATATAGAACAGGGCCAGGGAGGTAGGGGGCAGGCAGACTTCTCTCAGGAAGTACTATCCATGATGGAGTGCATGTGCCCAGAGCAGCCAGAATGCTCCACCTGCAGGCAGAGTCTTGCCCCGCCCAGACCCCTCCAGGATGAAAGCCAGCACACTCTTCCTTTCCATAGGAAGCTCTACCCTCTTGTCCTGCAGAAGACCCATGGCTCCTCCACACCCAGCCCTTGTCTGCCTCCGCAGTACCCTGGCATTACAGCCCAGGCAGTGCCCTTCCTTCTGCAGACTCAGGCACCACCTGCAGCCCAAACCTGCCTGGACCCCTCTTCCCACCCTCGCTGCCCCAGCATGGATTCCCAGCTCCCATCACCTCTGTACTTGCACACATCCAGCCTACTGTTTACAGCTTTATTTTGAAATGATCTGTGTATGAGTCAATTTCTTGTGCTAGACTTGAGTTCTCAGGGGGGGCAGTAGACCTGGGTCAGCACCTAGCACAGCACCCAGGCTGTGCTCCAGGGATGACTTCCAAAACCTCTGGGCACTCAAGGCCTGAAATGCCCTTACCTTGTTCTCTCTAGTGATTAAATCCTGCCTGTACTCCATGCCCCACCCCAGGATCTGGGGCTCAGGGTGTCACAGAATCGAAGTCTGCAAGGACAAATAACCATCTGAGTGGGCAGTTGGTGGCTAGTGCTTTTATTTTACAGATTGAGGCCTGGAGATGAGAAGGTAGGGATGGCTTGCTCGTGTCTAATGGAACGGGGACATTGCTGGGGCCAGATTTGAGCACTTATCCTTGTTAAGATTCTTACTGTATACCATGCCTGAGCCCTGCAATGGGGGAGGCGATAAGAAGGGAAACAGCAGAAGGATGCACGGGGCTGAGCAACCATTAGGAGCTGATAGTCACAAATGATACTCCCCTCCCCTCCCCCCTTCCTGCGACAGAGGCTTTATGCCTTAGATCTGGCCAGCACCGTCCTTTTGCTCAGCCTGCAGTGCCCCCTGCCTTCCCAGGAGTTTGTCTTTAATCATGTTTATTGGACAATCTCAAAGTGCCTGATGACTTTTTCAAAGAGAAATTGGACTTGGGAGCTGGAAAAGTGGGGTGAGGGTGGTGGGGGGAGCATGAGGGTAGAGGTGGGTCAGGGCACCCAGCTCCCATCTCAACAGCCAAAAACAATGAGACCAATTCAACTCATATCCTCCCAGAGTTCACAGAGAATTGACTGTGGAGACAACTGACCTGTTAAATCAGGGAGAGGTTTTGCTCCTCCTTGAATTATAGGCAATAAGACAATTTAATGATGATCTTCAAGGCTGTGAAGAGCTCTGAGAGAGAACAAAATGATAGCCTCTTTCTTCCTTTTTTCCTAGAGAAGATAAGGAATTAAGTTTCTCTTATAGCAGGAGGGAACAGGGCCAGATTCCAGAAGGCACATTCTAAGGGGGAGAACAGAACACAGAAAGCCATCTATTTGTGCAGAACCCAGCATGAAGGAAAGAAGTGCCTGTATCCAGGCTCCAGAGAAGATGTTTGAACTTCAGAGTCCACTTGGTGCCCGGAAGTCCTTGATTCACTTCCCCCTCCCTGCTCATTCCTACACACCACATCTCACCCTTCCTTTCCCCAGCATTGCTCTCAAGCAAACCTGCAACTCAGAATCCTGGCCATTCTCCAACCTGAGCATCCTGCCTTTTCCACCAAACTGGGTCCTTCCTTCCTTCCTTTGTCCTCCTTCCCTAACCTTACTGTCCTTACTGCCTCCAGGAAGCCCAACTGACTGAGCCTCACCTGGCATGAATTTAGCACTGACTACATTGTACCAGTAATCTCAACCCTGTTTCCGTCTTGTATTGTTTTAGGCTCATCCCTCCCTGGGAGCCTCCAAAAGTAGAAATTTTCTCCTTTCTTCCCTTTTACCTGGCTTCTGGCCTTAGCACTAGCCCAGACTGTGTCTGACCTAGTCCTTTTTCCCTCTCTCTGTCTTGGCCTCAGAGCACTTCTAGGACCTGCCTCTTCTCATCAGAATGAACTCACTGGTTTCTTGGCAGATCCTGCTTTTCCTCTATGCCACCTCTTTCGGGGAGCCATTGGCAAAGGTGGCACCTGTGGAGAATCCTAGACCTGTAGGTATGCATTGTCTGGGAAGTGGGGAGGTAGGGGAGTGAGTCATTGCAGAATCAGATTTGCCATATTTCTCAGATCGCACAGCTAGTCTAACACTGCCTTTGATGGACACCTAAGACTGGCACATGTGTCTGTACATCTCATGGAGAGGTGTGGGCATTGGGAGCCTCACCCAGGCTCAAGTGCTTGTTAACCACTGTGCTTCTTTGTGGTTTTCTCACACTGCTCTACACCAACCACTCCTCTGTGCAGATGTTGGAAAGGAACTTAATATGCAAGTTACTTTATCTGCTAGCTCAGATTCTTTACAGGGAATTTTAAAAAGACCTTAAACACAAGGACAGAGCTTAACACCTTGTCAATTCACTGGGGGAACTGATGAATGGTGAAACTAAGGCCCAAAGAGGTACAAAGTCACTCAGTCAAATACTGCAGAATCCCAGTGGGTGTCAGAGTGCCCCAAGAGCATATCTGCTGAGCAGTCCAAGTACAACAGGGCTACTCCATAAGTCAGGAGCATGAGTTCGAATATTACTTGGTTACCCTCCTTCTGGACAAACTAGAACCCATCTTTAGCCTCCCTTGACCTCAGTTGCTAGGCATGGAGCTCAGGGCATACGCTACACGCTTGCTATTATTGTACATGTCCATAGATACCCCAAAGCAGACAGGCCTATCGCCTTTTCCCTCTCTTTCCGGGTGAGCTAGGCTGCTCCGGAGAATAACCTCTCCCACTGCCTAGGGATGCTGGCTGTTGGCTGTTTCTGGCAAAAGGCTTCAGGGGAGGTCACACAGTATCCTGAGCAGTGGTCCTACTTTGGGGGTTGAGTGGATGTAAAGGGGAGACTCCCTCCCATCTCAGCCAAGTGGGCAAGGTGGGAGGGCCTCTCAGACAGACTATTATTAATTCTGGACCATGGCCACACTTTTCTCCAAATTGTGCCAGGGTATGGAAGAGCCAGGCTCAAGGCCATCGTCAACCCCTCACCCACCCACAGGCCTCATTTCCATTAATCTCTTGCCACAATTGGCTGGACTTACTGTCTACTCAGAGCTAGTTACCCTATTTTACTGCCAAAAAGTACAGTGAACTTAATGAGCCTTGTATGTGAAGTGTCTTCCAAATTACCTTTGTCAGCCCTCAGTACCAAGGGGAGAAATTACACCTGGGTGGGGAAGGTGAGCCAGTTAAATGACCTAGATAATTTCCAGTCTTCATTGAGCCCTGATACCGTTTATTAGGAGGCTGTCATTATTATTATCAGAGACCAGGTTGGATCACAGGAGTGTGTTACTGCAGGTTTTTCATCAGCTTTTATGTATTTAGCAAGCATTTATTGAAACCCTACTATGTGTAAGACACTGTTTCAAGCATTCTGAGAGATTGAAAGATGGAGGAGCATGGGGACCATCTGTCTCAAGGAGCTGGAGTCCAGTGACACCGCCCTCCTCTTCTTCCCCCTCCCCAGCTTCAACAAAGGGGCCAGGCAGGGAGCCCAGAAAAGAGGCAGAGATTAACTCCTAAATCTTTGGTTTTCTTTATTTCCAAACCCTACCCTGTTTGCTTCCTAAAAGGAAGCAGTTTAATATAAAAGTTACTTCAGATAATTTTGGCAAGCATTCGAAATCAAAGCTTTGTTGAAGAAGGGACAAGCAAATGGCCTAAGCATCCATAAGATTTGGGGCAGGGGCTGATTCTGCACTGAGGGCAAGCAATCAGGAAGATCTATCCTTCCTGCCCACCCACCCCGGCCTCACCTCCCTGTGCTCCTTGTCCTAGGCCAGCGACTCGGACCCCTGGCTCTCATGGTCCCCTGGGAGCAGGGTCTGCGGTGCGCAGAGAGGAAGGGGCCGAGCCGTCGAGAGGCCTCGCTGTGCCCGCCCAGCGAGAGCTCCGCGGGGCCCCAGCGGTCGAGCCTGTGCGTCCCGCGCAGTCGCCTGATCCCCGCGCCCCGGGGCGCCGTGCTGGTGCAGCGGGAAAAGGACCTGTCCACCTACAACTGGAACTCCTTCGGCCTGCGTTACGGCAAACGGCAGGCAGCGCCGGGAGGCCGCGAGGGCGGCGCTGCGCAGCGCTGAGCGCCCAGGTGCCAGCCAAGAACTTCAACCTCGGACTGGGGTGGGGACGCGCGGCCACGATGTTGGTTTAAGGCAATAAAGGAAATGCTGCTTACTCACTGGCGTGTGATTTGCGCCTAATTTTTGCAAGCAGCGCTCATTCGGCTGTTCCCCTTCTCAACTGCATCCGCAGCTGGGTTTAGAGTTCTCTGAGATCAAGGTCAGTGCGTCTCAAACTAGATGCTATGAGGACCCAGGCTGTTTGTGCCTCAATCTGTTGCAGCTAAATACTAAATAAATTAATAGATGATAGATAGGTAAGTAGGTAGGTAGGTAGATAGATAGATTATAGATAAAGAGTATATAAATAAAACTGGGGCTGGAGGTGTGGCTCAAGCTTTTTAGAGCCTGCCTCCCAAGTACAAAGCCCACACTGCCAAAAAAAAAAAGAAAAGAAAAATCAGTGAAAACCTGAAAAAAATTAAAAGCAACTAAAGAGAAGCCCAAATCGGATACTGTTTGTATGTTTCAGCAATATATATAAAATTTCTGTAAAACGTTCTGAATCTGTCCTCTTAGTTCCTAGATTTACCTCCTTGTGGATGGGTGCCATTTTGCAGAGGGGCCTAGCCAGGACCTACAACTTTGAGTCGCAGGTGGGGCAGGGGACACCTTTAAGTACCTTTCCTTTATCAGTTGTCGGTCAGTTGGGCAGCCTGACTTGGAAGATGAGAGCCACTGCCCTGTTTGTCAGGGCTGGAGCCAACAGCCAGGCCTCTGCTGGGGTGGTTGACCCTCAGCCACTGAGGTGGACTAGCTCATTCACCTCTTCTGGGAAGCCAAAATGGTCTGGTACATCCCACAAACATTTCTCTTCACCTTCGTAATCACTCAGGATTATGGGCATGTGATCACCATCTTTATAGGTAGAACCCTCAAGTCCAGAAAGAGAAGTCACTCACTAGAGGTACACTGCCTAATAGCTCTTCTGATGACAATCACAGTTGCATAGTTGCACCTCTCTGAGGTGGCCAGTTTGCCATCTGAGTCAGCTGAGGTGCAGATCAAGGAAGGACAGACAGCCTTCAGGAATATCATGAGGATATTCCTGGGGGCCCAATAGCTGAGGAGGAGAAATTTTGGTAGAAAAGAATAGTATTTGTTGGACTGGAGGTGTGGCTCACATGGTAGAGTGCCTGCTTTGCATGTGCAAAGCCCTGAGTTCAAACCCCAGTCCTACCAAAAAAAAAAAAAAAGAATCTGTCTAAAAAAATAAAATAAAAAAAAAGAATAGTATTTGTCATTAGGAAAACCCCAGGAAATCCACCACCTTCCTCCCACAACTCAGGCCTATTTGATAGCTTCAGGGTTTCCCTATCCTGCTTGGTCTAGGATGGAAATGTTCTTTCCCAGAGGGGTTGTAGAGCCCACCCCCATCCAGTGAGGCACCATAGAGTTTTATCCATTACAGAAACCAGGACTCCTCAGGATGTAGGCAGAGCTGTGTTGCTATGGCAACACACTAGGCTGCCATGGGAACTGACAACCTGCCCCCACCCCCATCCTTACCCTTGAAAGAGCCTCCAGAATCTCTCAAATTACTGATGCTGTGGTGAGCTCATGTCATAGCATGTCATGAGGGCGTGATGCTGTTGATATTCAGAAGGGCATTTGATCCCCAAACAGCCTGGGTGTGTGTGTAGTGTGGCAGAGGGGAGGGGCTGTGGCTTTAGAGGCAGGACAGTGAAATGTGTTCTCTGATAGAAGAAGCAGGTTCGACTGTGTGAGAGTGTGTAAGGAGGTAAATATGAAAAACTGCATGCATATTCACATGCATGTGCCTGATGACCTTGTGTGGGCGGTGGGCCCCTCCAAACACATTTCAGGCCTTTCCAGCTCCCAGTGCAACCAAGTGCCCCTGCCCCCAAGATCTCTGTTCTAGCTGATCCAGGGACCCTGCTTCCGTAAACAGCTGGCCCCACAACTGCTACCTTCGAGACTCTCAGATTTCTAGTTCTTGACTCCTTGTGTTGGGAAAGGATGGGTGGGCCTGTCTAGCAAGCACAAGGCCAAGTTCAAATCCCAGTAATGAAAAAAAAAAAAAAAAAAAAAGATGGTGTCTCCAGGTGACAAAAGGAATCTTTGGTCTAACTCTAAACCAACCTGCTCTCCGAAATGGAGGGCTGGAGGGGAGGTGAGAGGATGACTGGAGCCTCTGAAAGGCTATAATATTACTTGTCCCAGGTTTACCTAAGGCCCCTCTCCAGACTTTTGGGTGGGATCAAGAGCTGGGGCCACAGTGCCCAAAGACTTGGAGGCAGAGCTACAAAGGGTACTCAAACCTGCTTCTTCTTGAGTACCTACTTCCTCTGGACAGTACCCAAGGAGTGAAAAATCAGGAAGGTGAGGGGATCTGTTGTTGGGGGAGGCGAAAGTGTCTATCAGGCTTCACTGGTCTGGTAAATCTTCTATAGTAGTTGTGGGCTGGTCTCCTGTCCCTGTGGAAAGGAATACTGAGGCCAGGGGTGTGAGGGATGTAGGGAGATATACCAGCCTCTAGATTCACTCTTAACAATGTTAGCATGACTAAAGTGTGCCAAACACTGAGATGAGGCTGATGTGCCTCATCTCATTCTCACAACAGTGCACGAGGTGGGCAGTAGGACCACCCCCCTGCAAAAAAGAGAAAACTGAGGCTCAGAGAGGTTAAACCGTGTGCCCAAGATCACATAATAGGAGAGGCATAGACACAACAGACAGACAGACACATTTCCATGTTCTAACTACAAACACTATGAACTTCCTGCACGCTGCAGTCTCTCTTTAAGCTGGGTGAAGACCCCTCCTACCCAGGTTTTGTCTTGGAAGCAGGTTTGGCAGCCAATGTAACTGTACCCCAATCCCTCTCTGGACTCCTTTAGTGACAACACAGACAAAGTCACTGTTCCCCAGAACAGGCCTTCAACTGTCAAGCCTCAGGCCAAGGGCCAGACATCTATCTGCCTTGCCTTCCTCTTCTCCCTGTCAGTAGCTTATCCAGGCCCAGTCATGGTCACGGGGAGGTGAAGAACATCAGTCCAAAGAAAGCTACAGAACACTTCCTCATCTTCCGGACCTGCTTCCATTTTCTGTTTTCAGACACCAGAACATAAGATGGTTTAACTCAGAGTGGGGAGCCTGGGGCAAGGCATGCTTCTGATTGCTGGGTGTGCAGGACATGACAAATGGCCCCCATAATCATAACCTTGCTTTCCTGTGATTTCCTTAATATCTGACTCATATAATCTTTACAACTACCCCTTCAAACAGCTACATCACGAAATGGCAAAAAGTACCACAGCACATTGGTGCCTGTCCCATCCCTAAGTCCCTTAAAAGACAGCAAAGGAGCAAGGTGGTATAAACCCTTAAGGGCACAGAGAAGAGAAGAAAGAAAAAGACAACAAGATTTTAAAGATGGGAATTTCATGGAGGGCTTGGCAGAGCAAAGGGAGGCTGCTACCACAAAGCCAGAAAGGGGCTCCCATTGCCCCAAGACCTCATCTATGGATGTGAAGGTGTCTGCTGGGGATGAAGCCTGGACTGAAAATCTGTATGTGGAACTTGGACTTCTTGAGTTCCCCTCCCCCAGTCAACACTGCCAGCCACTCCCTGGCAAGCTACTCTACTGGGAAGAGGCTAGAGGCCACTTCTCTTGATGCCCTTGTCCAGGGACAGCAAGCTTTTAAGACAGGGATAGGATAGTTGAAAAGAGGGGACCGTGTGGACACTTGCACAGGTAAGCCCTGAGCCCCTTCCTTCACTCTGCCCCAGGAATGCCGGCAGCAAGGTACATGTCCCTCAACAGGAGATGGCAGGGGAAAACTCTTCAGATATTGGAGAGTGCCCCAGGAGAAAGCAAATGCAGAGCCACATCTGTGGTGGGGGCTCCCATCAAGAGCCCTACTGGTGCACACTGAGTTTCCAGGCCTCTCCTCCTGCCCCTCTTTTAACCATGAATGAAGAGTCAAGAGTCAAGGCCTCTGGTGGCATGGCTCAAGTGATAGAGCACCTGCCTAGCAAGCTCAAGACCCTGAGCTCAAAACCCAGTACTGCCAAAAAAAGAGTCAAGGCTTCAAAGGGACTGAAGAAAACCTGTAGATTGGAAGAGGAGACCAAGGCAAACAAACAGAAAACAGAGACCATGCAGAAAGCAGAGAGAACATTTTGTGTGGTTAAAAAGTCATAAAACTCAGAACCCTAACTGTTTGTAACACAGCTCAGTAGTGTTAAGTATATTCACATTGTTGTGCAATGAAAGTTTTCATCTCAGAGACAGCATTTAAAAACAATCAATCTGTAATTAATATCCTCTGGAGAGAGATAAGAGAATATTTTGCATCCATAAAAACGTAGAGGATGCAATAAAAATAGGAATAAACAGATCAGGAAGGACCTTTGGAAGTTCAAAGCATGAGAGCAAAAATTTTAAAAAGAAATAAAAGAGTTGGAACACATAGTTAAGGAAATCTAGAACTCAAAACAAAAAGAAATTGGGAGATAAAATATTTTAAAAAAAAAACTAAAAATTGCAACATCCTACTAATAGGATGTCTTGAGTTCCTAGAAGAGAGAAAAGAGAAAGGCAAGACATGATCAAAGAACTAATGCAGGACAATTAGCCAAAACGAAGGCCATGAATTTTCAGATGGAGGGGGTCATGGGGCAGAGCGCCCAGGTCATGAATGGGAAAACACCCAGGGCAGGCAGAAGAAAAGGCAGAGAAAATCCCCAGAGATGAAACTTATCACAGAAGAGTCTGGAGTCAGAACTGCATCAAACTTCTTCAAGTCAGAAAAACAACTGCCAACTTCAGAGGGAAATGCCTTCAACCTGGAATTCAGAGGCTATGAAACTACCTAGAGTAAGGGTGAAATGGAGACATCTGTGGTCCTGCCAGACTAGAAATGTTTACTTCTCCTATGCCTTTCCCAAGACGCTGTGGGAGCATATGCTCTGCTTAAGCAATGGTGTAAACTGAG